CTCCTGTCTCTGTCACTCCAGATCTGGCAATTGAAGTGTTCACCACCATTCCCCACCATTAAAATATTATGTTTTTTTGTTTATAGAAAAAAGATTTTTTTTTCATATGATGTATTCGGATAAGTGTTTCCTGTTCCCTGATCCTCTTAGTTTCTTCTCTCCCTCATCTGGATCCATGCCTTTTCTGTCTCTCCTTGGAAAACCTCTAAGCCTTATAATAAAATAAACAAGACTATAAAATTATTTTTGTTGCTACACCATGAGCTATATTAAAGGGTCACAACAATAGGAAGTTTGAGATCAACTAAACTCAAATCATGTCATATTATTTGTATTAGTCATGGTTCTCTAGAATAGTAGAACATATAGAATGAGTCTATATCTATATAGAAAGCATATTTACTAGAATGGCTTACAGGTTGTGGCCCAGCTAATCCAATGATTGCTGTCTACCACAAGAAAGTCCCAAAATCCAGTAGCTGTTCACTCCACAATACTGGAAGTTTTGCTGTTTTTTGGTATATTCTGAATTCCTGAAGAAATAAGCTCAGTATGAGTACAATAATGATTTTTCTGGCAACAACAAAGAAACCACACAAACACACAGCAATCCTCCCTTCTCCGTGTCCTTTAAATATACTGCCAGCTAATGTGTAGTCCATTTTAGTATTGAATTTTCCTACCTCAAATATCCAGAATAGAAGTGGGTTTTTCACTTCAAATGATTTAATAAGAAAGAACCTTGAACAGGCATCTCTAGTCACTTTGGGGTTTAGTTAATTCCAGAAGTAGAAAAGGTGGAAAGTAAGAATAGCATCACACTACTATAGCATCTGCAAATGAAGATGCTTTGACTTCTTTCCTATCTGTGACTCCTCAATCTCCTTCAGTTATTTTACTGCTCCATAAAACCTTTCTGCTAGTTTGAATGTAATTAGGACCCCCATAATCCCATGGTGATTGGGACCATCAGAAGGTGTGGACTTGGGGTGTTGAAGGAAGTGTGTCATTGTGAACTTTAAGGTCTCTTTTGCTCAAGCTTCATTCAGTGTGACACTCAGTCAATTTTCTGTTGCCTGCAAGATGTAGGGCTGTCAGCTACTTCTCCACCACCATGTCTGCCTGCTGCCATGTTGCTCCCACCATGCGGATAATGAACTAGACCTCTAAAAATGTCAGCAAACCACCCTAATTAAACATTTTCCTTTATAAAAGTTGCTGTGGTCATAGAATCTCTTCACAGCAATAAACTCTCTAAGACAGACTTCAAGAATACAGTTAGCAGGATGGAGCTAGCGGAGCGGCGCAGGCGCCCGCAGAGGAAGCGAGCACAGGTGGGCAACGCAGGCCAGGCCGCAGGCTGCAGCAGGGACCGGAGGGGACTGGCGCGGTGGCAGAGGACGCAGGCGGCAGGGACCAGTGCGCAACACCGAGAGCAGATCGCCCCACTACAATTAAATCAAAGAGGTAGGCCTTTGGTTGGCGAGGGCCCTGGCAAACAGGGAGCCGGGTCCTGTTCCGGAAAACCCTTCTGAGGGGTGAGAGGTTTCTTGGCCCCCTGGCAGGAGCCAGGAAACAGAGCGAGAGCAATTAGTAAGAGAAGCCTCTGGTCAGCAGAGAAACCTGATCCGATTTTAAAAGACCAATTAGATAGCATTGAAAGGAGGAGATGGGCAGGCGCCAAGGCAGAACATCACCCAACAATCTGAAAAACAACATGAAAACACCAGATCCCAAAGATCTTACAACAGAAAGATTTGAACAGAAGTGGAAAAATTGACTTTATGAAAGCAATAGAGTCCCTTAAAAAACATGTAAAAAACACCCTTATAGAAATGGATGAGAAGTATAACAAAAAGTTTGAAGAATTAAGTAAATATGTACATGAGACCCTGGGAAACCAAGAAAAAACGAACAAACAGGTAATGGAAACAGTTCAAGAATTGAAAACTGAAATGGAAGCAAGGAAGAAAGCACAAACTGGGGACCAGCTGGATACGGAAAATCTAGGTCAACGAGCAGAGCCTACAGAAACAAGCATAATCAATAGAATACAAGAAATAGAAGAAAGAATCTCAGATTCTGAAGACACCATAGAGAAAATAAACGCACTGATCAAAGAAAACAGCAAAGCCAACAAATTCTCATCACAAAACATTCAGGAAATATGGGACACAATAAAAAGACCAAACCTGAGAATAATAGGAATAGAAGAAGGGGAAGAATTACAGCTCAAAGGCCCAGAAAATATATTTAACAAAATTATGGAAGAAAACTTTCCCAACATAAAGAAAGATATTCCTTTGAATATCCAAGAAGCATACAGAACACCAAACAGACTGGATCAAAGAAAAGCATCCCCTCGCCATATAATAATCAAAACACAAAATATACAGGTTAAAGAAAGAATATTAAGAGCTGCAAAGGAAAAAGGCCAAGTAACTTATAAAGGTAAACCGATCAGACTTACACCTGACTTCTCTATGGAAACCATGAAAGCCAGAAGGTCCTGGATAGAGGTTCTTCAAAAACTAAGAGACCATGGATGCAAACCCAAACTTCTATACCCAGCCAAGCTAGTATTCACTATCAATGGAGAAAACAAGACATTCCAGGATAAGAACAAATTTAAACAATACGTAGCCACAAATCCAGCGCTACAGAAAGTAATAGAAGGAAAATCGCAACCCAAGGAATCCAACATTGCCAACACTGACTACAATAACTCAGGAATCTAGCGAACCTTCACCAGTACAACTCAAAGAAGGGACACACACAAACTCTACTACCGAAAACAGTAAGAATAACCGGAGTAAACAACCACTGGTCACTAATATCACTTAATATTAATGGTCTCAATTCACCTATAAAAAGGCACAGGCTAAGGGATTGGATACGAAAACAGGATCCAACATTCTGCTGTTTGCAAGAAACACATCTCAACCACAAAGACAGGCATCTACTCAGAGTAAAAGGTTGGGAAAAGGTCTTTCAAGCAAATGGTCCTAACAAAAAAGCAGGTGTGGCCATACTAATTTCCAACAAAACTGACTTCAAACTAAAATCAATCAGAAGAGATCGAGATGGACACTTTATACTCATAACAGGAACAATTCATCAGGATGACATCTCAATCCTGAATATCTATGCCCCTAATATAAAAGCACCCACTTATGTAAAAGAAATATTTCTAAAACTCAAGGCAGACATAAAACCACACACACTAATAGTAGGAGACTTCAACACACCTCTCTCTCCAATGGACAGGTCAATCAGACAGAAACCTAATAGAGAATTAAGAGAATTATTGGAGGTAATGAAGCAAATGGACTTAACAGACATCTACAGAACACTCCACCCAAATAGGAAAGAATATACCTTCTTCTCTGCAGCTCATGGAACCTTCTCAAAAATTGACCATATACTCGGAAACAAAGGAAACCTCCACAGATACAAAAGAATATCAGTGTCCACCTGTGTCTTATCAGATCACCACGGATTAAAGTTAGATGGCAACAACTATGCTACCCCCAGAAAGCCGACAAACTCATGGAAACTGAACAGTCAACTACTGAACCACACCTGGGTCAAGGAAGAAATTAAGAAAGAAATTAAAGTCTTCCTTGAATTTAATGAAAATAAAGAGACAACATACTCAAACCTATGGGACACGATGAAAGCAGTGCTAAGAGGAAAGTTCATAGCACTAAGTGCCCACTTAAAGAAAACAGAGAAAGCATACATTGGGGACTTAATGGCACACCTGAAAGCTTTAGAAAAAAAAGAAGCAGAGGTGCCCAGAAGGAGTAGAAGACTGGAAATAATCAAACTGAGGGCAGAAATCAACAAAATAGAAACACAGAAAACAGTCCAAAGAATCAATGAAACAAAAAGTTGGTTCTTGGAGAAAATCAACAAGATCGACAAACCCCTATCCAAACTAACTAAACAACAGAGAGAGAACACGCAAATAAATAAAATCAGAAATGAAAGGGGGGACATAACCACAGACACAGAGGAAATCCAGAGAATCATTAGATCTTACTATAAAAGCCTGTATGCCACAAAACTGGAAAATGCAAAAGAAATGGACATTTTTTTAGATAAGTACCATATACCAAAGCTAAACCAAGACCAGGTGAATGATCTAAATAGACCTGTTAGTCGCGAAGAACTAGAAACTGTTATCAAAAATCTCCCTTCCAAAAAAAGCCCAGGACCAGATGGGTTCAACGCAGAATTCTACCAGAACTTCCAAGAAGAGCTAATACCTATACTCCTTAACGTATTTCACAATATAGAAACAGAAAAGTCATTGCCAAATTCCTTTTATGAAGCTACAGTTACCCTGATACCAAAACCACACAAAGACCCAACCAAGAAAGAGAATTACAGGCCTATCTCACTCATGAATATCGACGCAAAAATTCTCAATAAAATACTGGCAAACCGAATTCAAGAACACATCAGAAAAATTATCCATTATGATCAAGTAGGCTTCATCCCAGAGATGCAGGGCTGGTTCAACATACGCAAATCTATCAATGTAATCCACCATATAAATAGACTGAAAGAAAAAAACCATATGATCATTTCATTAGATGCGGAAAAAGCATTCGACAAAATTCAACACCCCTTTATGATAAAGGTCTTGGAGAGAATAGGGATACAAGGGTCATACCTAAATATAATAAAAGCTATCTACAGCAAACCGACAGCTAACATTAAATTAAATGGAGAAAAACTCAAAGCCATCCCACTAAAATCAGGAACAAGACAAGGATGTCCACTCTCTCCATACCTCTTCAATATAGTGCTTGAAGTTCTAGCAATAGCAATAAGACAACATAAGGGGATCAAGGGGATTCGTATTGGAAAGGAAGAAGTTAAGCTTTCGTTATTTGCAGATGACATGATAGTATACATAAGCGACCCCAAAAATTCTACCAAAGAACTCCTACAGCTGATAAACACCTTTAGTAGCGTGGCTGGATACAAGATCAACTCCAAAAAATCAGTTGCCTTCCTATACACTAAGGATAAGGAAACAGAGAGGGAAATCACAGAAGCATCACCTTTCACGATAGCCACAAAGAGCATAAAATATCTTGGGGTAACCCTGACCAAGGAAGTGAAAGATCTATTTGACAAGAACTTCAAGTCTTTGAAGAAAGAAATAGAAGAGGACACCAGAAAATGGAAGGATCTCCCTTGCTCTTGGATTGGGAGGATCAACATAGTAAAAATGGCAATTCTACCAAAAGCAATCTATAGATTCAATGCAATCCCCATCAAAATCCCATCAAAATTCTTCACAGATCTGGAGAAGACAATAATCAACTTTATATGGAAAAACAAAAAACCCAGGATAGCCAAAACAATCTTATACAATAAAGGAACGTCTGGAGGCATTACCATCCCTGACTTCAAACTCTATTACAGAGCTACAGTATTGAAAACAGCTTGGTATTGGCATAAAAACAGAGAAGTCGACCAATGGAATCGAATAGAAGACCCTGACTTTAACCCACAAACATATGAACACCTGATTTTCGATAAAGGAGCTAAAAGTATACAATGGAAAAAAGAGAGCATCTTCAACAAATTGTGCTGGCAAAACTGGATGTCAATCTGTAGAAGAATGAAAATAGACCCATATCTATCACCATGCACAAAACTCAAGTCCAAGTGGGTGAAAGACCTCAATATCAGTCCAAACACACTGAACCTGATTGAAGAGAAAGTGGGAAGTACTCTAGAACACGTGGGCACAGGAGACCACTTCCTACGTATAACCCCAGCAGCACAGACAGTAAGGGCCTCATTGAATAAATGGGACCTCCTGAGACTGAGAAGCTTCTGTAAAGCAAAGGACACTGTCGCTAAGACAGAAAGGCAACCCACTGACTGGGAGAAGATCTTCACCAACCCCACAACTGACAAAGGTCTGATCTCCAAAATATATAAAGAACTCAAGAAACTAGACCGTAAAAGGCTAATCAACCCAATTATAAAATGGGGCACTGAGTTGAACAGAGATCTCTCAACAGAAGAAGTTCAAATGGCCAAAAGACACCTAAGGTCATGCTCAACTTCCTTAGCGATCAGGGAAATGCAAATCAAGACAACTTTAAGATACCATCTTACACCTGTCAGAATGGCGAAAATCAAAAACACCAATGATAGCCTTTGCTGGAGAGGTTGTGGAGAAAGGGGTACACTCATCCATTGCTGGTGGGAATGCAAACTTGTGCAACCACTCTGGAAAGCAGTGTGGAGGTTTCTCAGGAAATTTGGGATCAACCTACCCATGGACCCAGCAATACCACTCTTGGGAATATACCCAAGAGAGGCCTTATCACACAACAAAAGTATATGCTCTACTATGTTCATAGCAGCATTGTTTGTAATAGCCAGAACCTGGAAACAACCTAGATGCCCTTCAATTGAAGAATGGATGAAGAAAGTATGGAATATATACATATTAGAGTACTACTCAGCAGTAAAAAACAAGGACTTCTTGAAGTTTGCAGGCAAATGGATGGAAATAGAAAACACTATCCTGAGTGAGGTAAGCCAGACCCAAAAAGAGGAACATGGGATGTACTCACTCATATTTGGTTTCTAGCCATAAATAAAGGACATTGAGCCTATAATTCGGGTTCTCAGGGAAGCTAAATAAGGAGAACCCAAAGAAAAACATATAGGCATCCTCCTGAATATTAACCTTCATCAGGCGATGAAAGGAGACAGAGACAGAGACCCACATTGGAGCACCGGACTGAAATCTCAAGGTCCAAATCAGGAGCAGAAGGAGAGAGAACAGGAGCAAGGAACTCAGGACCGCGAGGGGTGCACCCTCACACTGAGACAATGGGGATGTTCTATTGGGAACTCACCAAGGCCAGCTGGCCTGGGTCTGAAAAGGCCTGGGTTAAAACAGGTCTCACTGAACATAGCGGACAATGAGGACTACTGAGACCTCAAGAACAATGGCAATGGGTTTTTGATCCTACAGCACCTATTCGCTTTGTGGGAGCCTAGGCAGTTTGGATGCTCACCTTACTAGACCTGGATGGAGGAGGGTGGTCCTTGGACTTCCCACAGGGCAATGAACCCTGATTGCTCTTTGGGATGACGAGGGAGGGGGATTTGATAGGGGGAGGGGGAGGGAAAGGGGGGGCGGAGGTGGGGAAGAGACAGAAATCTTTAATAAATTTAAAAAAGAATACAGTTAGCAGGTATGTTGAGTGTACATTCCTGTCTTCTTGTTAATTTTAGTTATATTGTTTAAATTTCTCTCCATTTAAGTTGATATTGGCTATGGGCTTGCTATAAACTTCCTTTATTTCATTTAGTTGTATACGTTGTATCCCCAATATTTCCAAGACTTTTCTCATGTAGGGGTTTTGATTTGTTGAAGGCCTTTTCTTCATCTAATGAGATGATCATGTGATGTTTTGTCTTTCAGTCTGTTAATATGGTGTATTATTTTTTTTTACCTATTTATGTATGGTGAATCATCCCTGCATCTCTAGGAAGGTTAAGTTAATCACGATGGATGTTGTGTTTGGTGTTTTTTGGGGGTTGGGTTTGCAGATATTTTATTGATAAATTTTTCCATCTATGTTCCTAAGGAAAATTTATCTGAATCTCTTTCTTTATTGGGTCTTTATGTAGCTTATGTATCAGGTAAATTGGAACTAATTCAAAGAATTGGGCTGTATTCTTTCATTTTTAATTTGGTGAATAATTTGAGGAATATTGTGGGGTGGTGGTTTGAATAAGAATGGCCCCCAGAAGCTCATAGATTTCAATGCTTAGGGACTGATACTATTTGATTGATTAGTGTGGCTAGGTGTTTGGAGGAAGGTGTGTCTCTCTGGGGATAGGTTTTGAGGTTTCAAAAGCCCAAGCCAGACCCAGTGGCTCTCTCCTTTCCTGCTGCCTGTGAATCTGGATGCAGAACTCTCTGTGCCTTCTCCAACACCATGTCTGCATGGCACCATGCTCCCCACTATGATGATAATGGACTAAAATCTGAACTGTAAACAAGCCCTAATTAAACACTTTCTTTTATAAGAGTTTCCATGTTCATGGTGTCTCTTCACACAACCAAACACAGGGCAAAACATGAGATTAACTCTTTTTTGGAAGTCACAGGGCATTCGGTGCTAAAACCGTATTGTCCTGGTTTTTTGGGTTTTTTTTTTGTTTGTTTGGTTGGCTTTGTTTTTTGTTTTTTTGTTTTTTGTATGGTTGGGAGACTCATAATTATTGCTTCTAATCCATTGATGTATTGGCCTGTTTAGCTTTCTTATTTAACCTGATTTGACTTTGGAATATCAGACTTATTGATCAAATTGTGTACTTCAGATGCAGAGATCCACAGTGGAGTCAAGACCATTATGGGGTTCCAACTGAAACAGCTTGCTTAAGCTAATCGGAGCCCACTATCTCCAGTCCAACAGTGAGGGAACCAACATAGGGCCAAATTAGGCACTCCAGATGTGGGTAACAGTTGCATGGCTGGGGCTCACTCTGTTACCACTGATAGTGAATCCATGATTTTCCCTACTGCTTCTACTTGCTTTTTGAAACCCATTCTCTTTGGAGGGATACCTTGCTTAGCCTAGATACAGTGGGAATGGCTTTTGACTCAAAGCAATGTGCTAGACTTTGTTAACTTTCCATGGAAAAACTTACCCTATTCTATCAAAGGTGTAGTTTGCCTACAGAATGTTTTGGTCTAGGCTGTAAGTGTGACTTGTTTTGTTCTAAAAACAGAATGCTTATCTAGGAATGTAGCCCACAACCTTCAACTGGTCTGTTCCTTTTCTTGTATAATGTAAATGAAGTGTTTTATCTTACTCCTACCACTTGGGGTTGGTATATTTTAAGTAATTTGAAAATAAACATAGGTGATTTCAGTATTCACTGGAACTGCCTCCTGGTACTGTTCTGTGTTTTCTGTTTTATTATTTTCATGTCTTTGTATTCTTTACTTATATTTCTATTTCCCATGCCCCTACACTGGCAAGTGATAGAGAGTCCAGTTTGATCACATGGTCCATCAGTCCCAGTCCAGCTGGCCTTGATGAGCTCCAATTAGATCAGCCCCACCATCTCAGTGAGTGGGCTCACCTCTCGCAGTCCTGACTTCCTTGCTCATGTTCTCCCTTCTTCTACTCCTCATTTGGACCTTGGGCGCTCAGTGCAGTGCTCCAATGTGGGTCTCTGTCTCTAGCTTCATCCATCGCCAGATGAAGGGTTTGTGGTGATATGCAAGATATTCATCAGTATGGCTATAGGATAGAGCCATTTCAGGCTCCCTCTCCTCGGCTGCCCAAGGATCTACCTGGGGACATCTCCAAGGACACCTGGGAACACCTCTAGAGTCAAGTCTCTTGCCAACCCTAAAATGGCTCCCTAAATTGAGATATATACTTCCCTGCTCCCATATCCCACTCTTCCTCCATCCCAAACATCCCATTCCCCCAAGTTCTCCCCATCCTTTCCTTCTCACTTTTTTCTCCCATCTCCCCTTACCCCTACCCCACCCCCACCCCCAAGTTTCCAATTTTTGCCTGGCAGTATTGTCTCCTTCCAATATAAAGGAGGATAACTATATGTTTTTCCTTGGGTTCACCTTTTTTTTCCTTCTCTAGGATCACGAATTATAGGCTCAATGTCTTTATTTATGGCTAGAATCCACTTATGAGTGAGTACATACCATATTTATCTTTTTGGTTCTGGGTTACCACACTCAGGATAGTGTTTTCTATTTCCATCCATTTGCATGCAAAAGTCAAGATGTCATTGTTTTTTACCGCTGAATAGTACTCTAATGCGTACATATTCCACACTTTCTTTATCCATTCTTCGATTGAGGAGCATCTAGATTGTTTCCAGGTTCTGGCTATTACAAATAAAGATGCTATGAACATAATTAAAGAAATGCTTTTGTAGTATGCTAGGGCATCTCTTGGGTATATATAGCATAAAATATCTTGGGATAACTCTAACCAAAAAAGTGAAAGAACTGTTTGACAAGAACTTTAAGTCTTTGAAGAAAGAAATTGAAGGGGATACCAGAAAATGGAAGGATCTCCCTTGCTCTTGGATTGGGAGGATCAACATAGTAAAAATGGCAATTCTACCAAAAGCAATCTATAGATTCATTGCAATCCCCATCAAAATCCCAACAAAATTCTTCACAGACCTTGAGAGAAAAATAATCAACTTTATAAGAAAAAAAAAACCCAGGATAGTCAAAACAATTCTACACAATAAAGGTACTTCAGGAGGCATTACCATCCCTGACTTCAAACTCTATTACAGAGCTACAGTAAGGAACACAGCTTGACATTGGCACAAAAACAGAGATGTTGACCAATGAAATCAAATAGAAGGCCCGAATTTTAACCCACAAACCTATGAACCCCTGATTTTCAACAAAGGAGCTAAAAGTATACAATGGAAGAAAGATAGCATCTTCAACAAATGGTGCTGGCACAACTGGATGTCAACCTGTAGACAAATGAAAAAAGATCCATATCTATCACCATGCACAATACTCATGTCCAAAAGGATAAAAAACCTCAATATCAATCTGAGCACACTGAACCTGATAGAAGAGAAAGTGGGACATACTGTACAACACATGGGCATAGGAGACCACTTCCTACATATATCCCCAGTAGCACAGACAATAAGGGCAACATTGAATAAATGGGACCTACTAAAACTGAGAAGCTTCTGTAAAACAAAGGACACCATCATTAAGACAAAAAGGCAATCTACAGACTGGGAGAAGATCTTCACCAACCCCACAACAGACAAACGTCTGATTTCTAAAATATATAAAGAACTCAAGAAACTAGACTTTAAAATGCTATTTAACCCAATTTAAAAAATAGGGCACTGAACTGAACAGAGAATTCTCAACAGAAGAAGATCAAATGGCCAAAAGACACATAAGATCATGCTCAACCTCCTTAACTTTCAGGAAAATGCAAATCAAAACAACTTTGAGATACCATCTTACACCTGTCAGAATGGCTAAAATCAAAAACACTTGATTGCTGAAGAGGATGTGGAGTAAGGGGAACACTCATCCATTGCTGGTGGGAATGTAAACTTGTGCAACCACTTTGGAAATCAGTATTGCAGTTTCTCAGGAAATTCAGGATCAACCTACCCCAGGATCCAGCAATACCACTCTTGGGAATATAGCCAAAAGATAACCTCTTTCTTCTAACCTTCATCTAAAGCCAGAACCATGGTGCTGAAGCTGCCAAGTTCTGCTGCTTTGAGGGGCTATAACATGGCTCCTCATACAATGACACTTTACCTGCTTTCTGTTTTCTGTATTTTCCTTCACTGCCTAAGCTCGGCTTTCCTAGAACTAAATGAAAGGTAGAAGAAACTCTATTCAAAATATAATCTGTGAAACAGAACTCTCATCAGTAAGAGAAAAAAATTTAAGTGGAGTCTGGTGTTGCATACTTGTAATCCCGAGCTGGAGAAACAGAGACAGAAGCCCTGGGACTATCTCTTGTCATATTTGGCAATCCCCAGGTCACTGAGAGACATTAACAAAACCAAGGTGATTGTATTGTGAAGAAAAACAGCAAACATTGTCTCCTGGCCTCAACATATACATGCATACATATCCTTCATCTGTGCACACATACATGAAAACACATGTACACAAAAAAACACACTGTACATCATGTATATATAAACAAATTTTTTATATAAACAAATTTTTATTTGACAAATAATGTGTGAGTAAGTATTGATGAAGTACGAATACACAGGCACATGGAATATTTATATAAGGCTCATTAAGTAACTGTGGTAAAAAGAGACAATTTAAATTCATAGTATTTTTGAGGATCCAGAGAAACTACACTTAGGAAAGAGATTTTTAAAGCTACAATAGAATATTTAAACTACTTTTGATGACTGAGAGTAAATTAAATTTCCATCAAAAGAAATACGTTAAAGTCAGTATCAGCAAGGACCATCCTTTGAGCAACCTCAACATCGGGAAATATTTATGAAATAAAGTAAAGAGGAAAGAGTAAGAGAATTCCTGTAGAAATTTCAAATTATGGTGTACTATAAACTTAAAGGATGCTATAGATTTTGGCAGCAGAAATGTCACAAAAATGTATATGTGTAATACCACAAATTTTATTTAAAATATGGAGAATATTGATTTTCTACTTGAACTATTACAGAGTTTAAGAAGAATATGATTTAGGAAAAATTAGTTGCAGCTGCACCAGAATGACAACTTACAAACATTTGTCTGTCCAGCTCAAAGGGGGCAAGGACAATGGCTTCTTCTGATCTTGTGGGTACCAGGAATTGACACATACATACATGCTGACCAAATATTCATAAATGTAAAAATATAAATCATTCTATTAAAATGAGAAAATTATCCCTTTTTTAAAATATGGTGGCACACAGACTGCATGTCTTTCAGCTTATTGATTATTCTATTATCAGAACTGATTTGTACCAAAGGAGTAATTGTGGGATAGACATTAATCACAAACTTCTGAACACTCAGGATGACTGGGTCGTACATCCATAACAGGACTGCGGTGGATGAGATGATGAAATCCACCCAGTACATGACCACAAAGAAAGCCACGAGCAGCAAGATGGTCTGGGTGGCCCTTTTCTCAGGAGATGCTCTCAGGTGACTGAGGCTGTGAAGATGCTTGCATTGCCTCTGATGTCTGAACAAGATGATCACCATGTATACACTTGTGGCCAGCATAACTCCTACAAGAAATACATCTCTGGAGGTTGCCACTGTTAAAATCAGTGCCCTGATGATATAGTTCATGGAGAAGAGTGAACAGAATTTAGTGACCTTCATATGGTTGGTCTCACTCACATTGGTAAAAGTACCAGTATAAAAGATCCAGTTACTAATGAATAACAAGTTGAAAGACCAAATAAATAAGAAAGCACAAATCATGTACTTTTTTAGTTTATACTTAAATTTTGCCAAAAAAGAAGTACTAGGACTGATAGTGACCGCCTGGAACACACTCAGGAGGCAGGTGATGCAGATGGAGAGGCCTCTCATCACCCTGCTTATGTAAAATGTTGTCTTACATTTGAAATCATTATCAACGTTCAGTGACTCAAATATGTCCCAAATCCAAATATCCCCTCCAGTGATGATCAGCAGTGTGTGAATGAAGGCCAATTGACAGGAGATCATGTCCGTGGACTTAGGTCTGTGACCTAGAATTATGAAAGTGTAGAAAAAAAGAAGAAACGTATTTGCCAGAACTCCAAGTCCAGCTTGGAAATTAAGGACATTCTTCAATGAGGACATAAGTGGAAAGTATATTCATCTTAGGAGCATGATATGAAAAAATGAAATTTATGCCCTGGCAATGCTAATGCATGCATGTATGGCCCATATATGGTGGTTCTGTTGACCTTGTCCATATTGGGTTTCATAGCCTAAATTGATGAGGATGACTGTACAGGTCTCATTCTCAAGAGGGCACCAGATCCCAATACAGATGGTTGTGGAAACTTATTTCATATACCTGAAAAAATTATATATTCTTCATGAAAGTTGTTATTCACTGGTCATTATGTTTATCATCATTCTGTTTACCTATTTATTCTTGATTAACCCATCTCTTTAATTGAAGTTCCACATTAGACATGGCCTATGTTTCTATATACTCTCAATATATCTCCTGGATATACAGCATTCTCAGCCACATCCAAAACAGAATGCACACTTCATGTGCCTGTATTGCACCTAGACCTCATGCCTTAGAAATTAAATCCTACTGATTTGACTTACATTGACTCATTTTATAGTTAACACTGGAAACAGCAGTGATGAGAATACAGGAGCATAATCACATTTGTACAACTGATTAAAAATTATGTTGTTCTGGGGAGAAATCACAAAAGAAATCCAAAAGAGTTAGGTGAGTCAGTCTCATATTTTATAATTTAATAAGCTCCATCTTACAACTATCCATGTTTTCATTCATAATTCTGATGGAATCAGAGTTGATAATTCATGATAATCCCACTATTTAATCAGTAGGATGTCTATCTCAATTCATCTATTTTTATTTTCCTTTTTCAATGAACTTACATGATGCAGTTGGAGGACATAGTGCACTTTCCACACTGTACTAATTTTATATCCAGTATTGTTACAAATGCTCCTCGACGTCTCCCACTTTACTTTCTATCCTATTTAAAACTTGTGTAAAATCTACTTGTGGTTTAAAGAACTTACTCTCAACTATAAAGACAAATGCTATTTTTGTTTATTTTTTACAGCTGGTCAGTGGGGTAGATAAATCATTACTAGTATGATTCCTTTTGGTTTTTTCATCCATCCTTTGTTACTTTACCTATCTAATCCATCGTCTGTATTTATATCCTCCTCTTTGACTAAGAAACCCCCATTTTCCCTATCAGATCAATGGTCTCCTGCTACTCCCCTGTACCTTCCTCCCACCTCCTTCTATATGTTCTTCCCTCCTCCCTAAGGAGCCCACCCTTTCCCATTTCCCTGATAAGATCACTTGTTCCCTGTTGTTCTTCTCTCCATTGCTACCCATGATCAACCCCATCTTGGCCATGGCCCCATTTTGCTTTCCTGATATCTGTAGTTTACACAGGTAAATACTCTCATCTGAAGATGTGGAGCCAGGAGACCCCTACAAGAGAGAGAATGAGACACTAAGACAAACACTGCTTTCAACACGTTGTGACAAAGATGACCACATAGTGATCCTGTTTTAGAATCTCTGTTTTAATAGATTCTTTCCCATGCAGTGGAAATCAAGGGCCCCTGTGTCATCATATGTCACCAACACACAGACAATTTTTTTACTTTCAACAAATAGTCTTAGCTTGAGTGCTGATGTTAGTTATTTAGTCTGGTTGCCAGTATCATTATTTTAGAAAATTAGTATAGTTCATTACTTTAACATCAACTTTGTGATAGAGAAATAGAAAACTATGCCTACTAAGATTCTTGTGAAAAAGAGAGGCCAATTGTGTTCTCATGATCAATTGTATATTCCACATACATAGCTGCATGCATGTATATATAGCAATATTGCAGAAGTCAGTATATGAGAGCACTCTATCACATCCCCATGAATATGACAACATAAATCATACATGTTACATATATACATTATGTTTGCTCTTAAAACTTCATCTAGTAAAGGAATAGATTCAGTCCAATTGCCAGAGCAAAACAAATGATTCTCCCACCAACAAACATTTACAGTAGCTGCACATTGGGATTTTATTCTTTTAAAATATTCAAGCATGCAAATTGGAGAGATGGCACAGTGGTTCAGAGCATGTTTTCTCTTGATTACGATATGGGTTAGATTCCCAGCAACGACATGGTGGCTCATAACCCTCTGTAACTCTAGCTGAAGGGAATCTATTTCCTTTTCTGATATTGTAAGCAAGTGGTACACAGATATATATGAATGTAAAATACATATATATGTAAAATAAAATAAATAAATATTAAAGAAACAAAGTAAATATGTTATCAGATTTATTAGGGATAATAATTAATTCAAGGCTTGGTCTCTAAACTGAAAGAACTGCAGCATATTCCAATTTTAAAACTGCAATGGACAAACACTATATATGTAAACATTTTTATTCATTGTAGATCTATAATTTTTAATATGAAATTGTAATATAAATAAAATAAAAAGATGATAATAGAAGTTAAAGCTGGTAATTGAATTTTTTTTTCTTTTCTCAAAGATATGGACTTTAACCTCTCTACTTCATATTCATTGCTTAAAAAACATTTGTCACCTGTTTGTAATTGCCAGAACCTGGAAACAACCTAGATGCCCTTCAATGGAAGAATGGATGAAGAAAGTATGGAATATATACATATTAGAGTACTACTCAGCAGTAAAAAACAAGGACTTCTTGAATTTTGCATACAAATGGATGGAAATAGAAAACACTATCCTGAGTGAGGTAAGCCAGACTCAAAAAGAGGAACATGGGATGTACTCACTCATATTTGGTTTCTAGCCATAAACAAAGGACATTGAGCCTATAATTAGTGATCCTAGAGAAGCTAAATAAGGAGAACCCAAAGAAAAACATACAGGAATCCTCCGGAATATTAACCTTCATAAGGCGATGAAAGGAGACAGAGACAGAGACCCACACTGGAGCACCGGACTGAAACCTCAAGGTCCAAATCAGGAGCAGAAGGAGAGAGAACAGGAGCAAGGAACTCAGGACCGCGAGGGGTGCACCCACACACTGACACAATGGGGATGTTCTATCGGGAACTCACCAAGGCCAGCTGGCCTGGCTCTGAAAAAGCCTGGGATAAAACCGGTCTCGCTGAACATAGCGGACAATGAGGGCTACTGAGAACCCAAGAACAATGGCAATGGGTTTTTGATCCTACTGCACCTATTGGTTTTGTGGGAGCCTAGGCAGTTTGGATGCTCACCTTACTAGACCTGGATGGAGGAGGGTGGTCCTCGGACTTCCCACAGGGCAGGGAACCCTGATTGCTCTTTGGGCTGATGAGGGAGGGGGACTTAATTGGGGGAGGGAGAGGGAAATGGGAGGCGGCGGTGGGGAAGAGACAGAAATTTAAAAAAAAACACTTATCACCTACAGAAAATGACACTTCTTCTCATTCCTTATGTGGTGTCTTTCCCTGATGTGTACTAGAGGTGAGACTAGACCAGAAATACCATAACTATCGTAGCTACAAACTGAGTTTTCAACATATACATAAACTAAGAAAAGGCATTCATTTCATTTGAAAAAAATGCAGTGCTTGGAATTTCATATTAGTTTATGTTGTAGTACTTAGTTGTAAAGACTAAACCCAAAGTGTATCCATAAGCATTCGTAATAGTAACAATTCCATCACTCTTAATGGAATCCAGACCAAAGACCGAGAAGGCAGCAGGCAGCTGTCTGAGGAAACGTGCAACAAAATAAACAAAGAGCTGTTTCCTGCATAACTCTACAATCTTCTGAAAAAAATCACTTTCCCTCTTCATTATCTCAGTATTTAATTTTAGAATAGACTTGTTTTGTGAATTTATGATAGTATTTCCATTCTTCTCTGAGGAGATAATAATATAGTAAACATAAAACATATTAGATCAAAAGTATCATTTTCATTTTAAGTTTTACCATATTTAGTGAGTAATGACCTATTTGCAGTGTGACTGCTTAGAGAGAATAAGGAGTGATTGTGTGACTTTCAGCTGACAAGAAACATGGAGTTAGCAGAGGTACTGTCCACTGCCAGCAATGTTAATAAATCTTTGGAACTCTCAGGAAGATGAGACCTTAGCCACTCAAATTAATTCTATGCGGACATTTTTATGAAATAGATATGCCAGTAGGAATAAATAGTGATTACTCATTTAAGGTATTAATTCATAGAACTTGCCTAATCTCTTTTTTTGTTTTGTTTTGTTTTGGTTTTGGGTTTTTTTTTTTTTGCCTAATCTCTTAAACAATTTAAAATTATAAGTTACTCTGTAGGAATTGAACTTAACTCACTTGCATCTGGAAGCACACAGTCGCTCACTAGAACTTTACAGTCTCACAGTTTCCAGCCAGTTCCCCTGCGATGAAGCCGCAGCAGCAGAGTCACTGCAGAGCCTGTGGGGAAGCAGTCAGACCCAGAGCTCCATCACACGTCACATGGTGGAAGTCTGGGGAAGACATGAAAATGTTCACTGGAAGTGTGTGTGTGTGTGTGTGTGTGTGTGTGTGTGTGTGTGTGTGTTACCTGGACTAAAAATAGATCAATATCATACTGTGTGCTGAGGCTGCTATCATGATTATATGAACAGCACTTAAGTGAAAAACTGAGGGTTATATCAAATATGTTTCTGAAATAAAATGAACTTTAGGGGAAATGGAGAGTACGTCTCTGTTTTCTGGGTGACTTAATAAAATCCACAAGGGTCCTACCTAGTGCATCAGTGCAGACTCTTAAGGTGAATTATTCAAAATAAACTGAATATTCTGTAAGACTTGCCAACATAAATTCATACTTCCATCATTTGTTTTATTTTTGTGGCGTGGAAGTTCTGTGTCTAATGAGTAAATGAAATTTATTGGCACCATTTTATTCCAGTTTAAAAACAATTATTTCATGATTCTATAGTATCTATTTGCCAAAATAATTTTGCTGTATTTGTGTGTGAGAAAGATGGAGACAGAGAGAGGGGCTCAACCTATACTGGCTTCAATATAACTCAGGAAGCTCCTGTCTTAGCCTTCAAAGTGCTGGGTTCATAGGTGTTGCCACCACACATGACTTCACTTTCCATTTGAGTCTTCTGTATG